AAACGTATGATATACTGTTAATTTGTTACTGAATTAATATTATCGATAGATATATTTTTTATACATATATTGATACAAAATTATTATTGTTGTATACATATATGATAAATGCAAATGTGTGTATATATTTATAGCAGCTGTAAGTGATATTTATGAATATATATATATATATAAATAAATAATGAATATTGTATAGTAACAAAATTCAAAAAGTAATAATAATAAAAAAATAAAAAAAAAACACAAAATGCTAGTTTTAGTCTTTTAATCTATGACAGAAAATGAATATGACATTATAAATTATAATTAAATTCCAATTCCATGTAAGAATTTATAATATTTGTATTTGATGTTGGCAATCAAACATGCCCTTAATCAATGCCTTGATGATTAAATTGTTTTAAATACAACTTTTATAGCAGATTTATTGAGAGTAAATAGTGTTCGTAACAATTAGTTGTCGACATGTAATAAAGATTTTTATTATTTTTGGTACAGAACAGTAATTAATTGTTGAGAGAAATGGGACCCAACTTATCGATAGTTGTTTGTGTCTTAACATATTTTTGAAATATATTACTACTATATAATCCGATATTTCCTGTCTGGTTTTTAAAATTTTATAATTGTTTTATTTACACAAATTATCAATTTATATATAAGTTGGGAAAACAAAAGTTATGAAACATAATACTTTTTCCCTCCCAAAAACTATAGTCTGGGTTGTATTTGACACAAAATTTAAGAAATATTGATATTATATTAGTAGTGGATAAAAAGTACAGGTAAAACAATTTTTTGTCCTTGTAAGTGTATTAGTGTAAAAAGTAGTAGTAATTGAAAAAGTAAAGATAATTTTACAGTGATATGATTATTTATGGAAATAAGATTATTGTTTTGAAACGGACAAAAATGATAAATATGACTATTGTCGAGACAGAGAAGGTACTTTATTTATAGTTAAAGAAAAAATTAATAAAATTAAAAATATAACCGCTATTTTTCATTCCAAACATTAACAGTTAGTCTTCGTTTCTTAATATATATATATATATACTATATCCTATATCCTATATCCGTTTGAATTCAAAATAACATTTATATATATATTCTCTTAGTCCTAATTCAAAATAACATTTTTATCATTTTTGTATGTTCTATCTATTTTTTATTTTAGAAAAAATAATTATACATTAATACCAAAATATTTTTAACTTTTACTATTTAAATTGCAAACACTCTATTACACATTCAATTATTTTATACATAAAATCAAATTACAAAAACATAAAAAACTCTTCACACTTTTACTACTCATAGTGTTGATTTGACCGATCAGAATATGTTATAAAAATAAACATCATATACACTATACATATACTATGTTATAATACAGTATATATTATATTATGTAGAAATATACATTGTTTTTTTTTTTTATAACATATGTTGATTCGGTCGAATAAACACCAACGCCCATATATATATATATATATATATATTATATTAACACTCCATTTTATATAAAAAAAATTAAGTCCAAAAACCTAATCTACATCAAAATACTAACACTATATATTCTTCGTTAAATAATACTTCCTTCGTCTCATATCTATATATCCATTTGTTTTTTCACAAAATTTTAGAAATATTAGTATTATATTAAAATAAAGTAGAAATAAAGGTAAAAAAACTAAATTAACCCTATCAGTATTGTACGATACTCCCTCCGTCCAGTCAGAAAGTATACATATTTCTATTTTGGGACGTCCAATTACAAAGTAACCATTTCATTAAATACCCCATTTTTTCCACAAATACCCCTACTTTACATCACATCATTACTTTTATACCAAAAAAAATAAAAGCAAAAATATCATTTTATTACTTCTACATATCCACTGTAATTAAAATATTATTATTCCTTAATCTCCGCGCCAAAAGTAATTGTATACTTTTAGCTTGGACGGAGGGAGTATAAAGGTAATGACATGACATTTGTATAATATATTGTAAATTAGAAAGGTATTCGTAATATTAGGTAGATGGTACAATTAATAAAAAAAAAATTAATACTCTGTTATGAAACAGATCAAAATAAAAAAAATAGATAGATTGTTAACGAACGAAGGATGAAGTAATAATATACAAATGTTTTACTATTAAACTAAAATGGTGGCGTTGACGCTTAACATTGACGTCAGTTGATCGGGAGTAGCTCTTGGAGTTGTTTTAAAAATTAAAATATCTTTATGTGAGAATTTATGAACACAAAATGCAATGTAATGGGTCTTGGCTGGATTAGATGTGACATAAATAATGATGGGCCATAGTGAAGAATAAATTTCAAGAATCAGACTGAAATTACATGCCAAAAATATAAAATAAATAATGGTTGTTAGAACAGCCATGAAGTTTCCCATGAAGCAAGTGGGAAACTAATTTTAAATTAAACACTAAATATGACATTTATTGTAATGTAGGGCAGGGCCACTATTAGGTGATCATGAAATGAAGTATTCGTGCATAACTTTATTTTATTCAATTTTTATTTTACATTACAATATAAGTATATCATATGATTTGATTGGTGTCTTTCAAGTGTCAACTCCTAAAAATACTGTGTAAAATAAATCACACTGCATGTGCTATTCATATCACTTAACTACTCATTTAAAGAGATTAAATGATGATTTTTAGAGTGTTTGTTGCACTATTCAATAGCAGCATTTACGATTCCAATCATATTTAATTTCGTGCTTAAACTTATCAAATATATATATATTTGTAAAAAAAAAAGACCTTCAAAATTAAATATTACTCCCTTCATCCTAAATATTTTGCGTTTATTGTAATAGAATATAATTAATAGATAATTAAGAAGTATATTAGTAAAAATAATTATAAATTAAAATTAAAATAAATAAATAGTTTAATTAAAATTAAGAAAAATTATAAAATTTAAAATTTAAAATGCGATTAAAATGCATAATTATATTTTAAAAATATAAATGACAAATTATATAATAGAAAATAAGAACAAATTATGTGGAGGAGCCAGAGTAAAATGGTATGATGAGATTAGAATCAAATTCTGAGAATTCAGAATGAAAACAGTTTATTCTGACCTGACCTCTCTGTCGTCTGTGCTTAAATTTGGCAATATCCCTCCACTGGACAACCATGAGATTTCCACATCTGCTCTAGAAAAAGAAAACGAATGGAGACAAAAAAAAAAAAAAAGAAAAAAAAAAGGTCTGAATAATACAAATATTCTGTATTCTTTGAGCAAATGCAGATTTGGATGCAGTCTCTATGCTATCTTGCGGTTGAAACATTCTTTTCATGACAGAAGAGTACATCTTTTTCTTGGGCGAATAAATCACATATCAGTTCCAATTTTCTCTAACTATTTTGAATAATTCAGCTAATCTAATTGTGCCTCGAAATTTACAAAAAAAGAAACACCCTTTTGTTTGAATGATGAGCAGTGTGTGTTTCTAATTCTAATGCTGGATGGATAATTAAAGATAATAATATGCAATAAACCTTTTTCATGAGTAATATAGGGCCATGTAATTCACTTATGCACAGGTAAATAGAAAACAAAAAAAAAACAATTGAGTTTGGAGAGGAGTAAATGTAAATTGAGTGTTCGTTGTGCAGTGAATAACTTTCCAGTTCAGAAAATGGTACCAGAAATCAGAGCCTTATTTACTAGCACAGGTTAATGAAGGTATCAGTTTCCACTGGGCAGATGGATTAAAAACAAAATACTATTTCAATTTCCAAACAAGGCAGAAAACAAATTCCTATGTTTTTCTGCGATTAATAATGTGGCCAGGAGATGTCCACGTTTAGCAACCGTTATCATCACAACATCATATATCAATGGAATTACCACAGCACGTTTTTCAGACATCAAGAAAAATAAAATGGATAAACTGAAGTTCAGAGACATGATTACATGAACTGATGAACAAGTACCAGCTAAGTATTATCCTTGATGTTTTATAAATGTTAATGGAGGATTATTTCAATAAACATAATTCCAAACAGGTTATCTTAGAACCCAAAAACAAACATGGAAAAGGGATATGCACGTAGTGGGGAGGGGGTACAGCGCGTGAATTAATTACACATAATGGAAATTTAAAACTTACCTTGGGAATGGTTGGTGATGAACATTTGCAAATCCCTTAATTTCCCACCAACTGAGTAGCAATGGATGTAATACTGAAGATAAATGCTACTTTTCTGCATGGAAAAGTATTTCAGAATTAAATGATATGAAAAGGGAAGATTATGAGCATGCATTTGTGTCTCCTGCAACAGAAATCAATCAGCCATGAAAGCCAAATAAATGTACACGCATGCATTTCCAGTAAATTCTAAAGTGGAAAGTTATTGTTTAACTGTGAAATGTGGATGCTGGCAGTAACAGTCAATTTTGATAGAAGAAAAATGAAAAAGAATCCTAATATCCAAATGCATAAATGAAAGTTATTGTTAACTTCAATCATTGATGCCTTAAACCCAACACATCATCACATAAAATCTATCATCACCAGGCGTACAGCTCCTGCAGTTATGAGAGACCCTAAGAATCAATCAGACACAAGTTTCAATAGTAAAAATTTCGTACCCAAATTTCTCCATATGCAGGCCATCATTTAATGTTCTTCTAACATTTATTATTTCTATATTCTTGCAAGTTTCATCTAGCCCTGATAGCTAGCTCACCAGAAGTTCCTTCAAACAGATTCATATGACAAGACTGAAGGGCCAAAAGCATAAATGATTTCAGCAATGTCGGTTTTAGTTGCTACATATTAGCAACTTGATATGTTTCACAAGACCCACAAAATAGGATAAGAAAAACTGTGTTTCCAAAATACTTACATACTGACAGCAAATCTTGAAGCCTTCCAGTTCCCAAATGAGATGTCCAATCCATAAAATAGGAATAACCAAGAAACTGTAGTGCATGCTTTCTAGAAAGAGCAATTTTAGTTTTATTAGGTCCAGTAAGCATGCAAATGGTCTGAAAACAAATCAACAAAGCCTGACATAATCCATGCTGTAGTCTTATCCACTGTAGAAATTGATAAAAGGGTAACCCCACACATTAAGCTTAAATGCCATCACCATATAAATTGACTTTCTGCACATTAAGAATCTAAGAAAATGCTACGGTTATACCTAAGGAGGGGTGCATTTGGTTAACCTAATAGTACCGGCTAATAAAAGAACTTTAACTCAACATGAGCAAAAAGTACAGAGAAATGATAAACACACAGCTAGAATGCACAAGGATACTCATTAAAATCATAGAATTTAAAAGGAATTTACAAATTATTCACAGTTCTACTAGGAGATACAAAGAGCATAACAAACAGCTTTATCTCTCAGCCACAATCTCACCATAACACATTTAAGTCAGAAATATGTTCCATCTTCCATGTTTATTGCACGAAAGTTACTGCTATAAACAATTATATGTGAAACTGAGATAAATTTTCAAGAATCCAATAAGAACAAAGAGTTAATCAGCAAAATTACATGTGGAACTGAGATACACTTTCAAGTATCCAATCAGAAAAAAAGTTTCAGCAACAATCGGAGCAATACTCAAAAGGAAATCAGTTATAAGAACGGAAATCAGAGAATTACGAAATATTAAGTTGAGCCTGTAAAAATGTCATATTTATGTACGTGCGTATGAGATACTGCACCAATTTGTCCAGAATACTATAAGATTGGGCACATGGGACAGATGAAATTAGCTTTGGAACTAAAGTGTCACAAGTTGTGGCATCTGCAATTCTTACCACTCACTAGCAACTGAAAAAAAGAGCAGGTAAATTCAAAGGCAACAATTAAAATAGCTCTGCTGAGTAATTTCATACTGAATGAGAATGACGATCAATGCAATCAGGAATTACTACAAGACTTCATAGAAATATGCCAGGCCAGCTGTTCAGGATATCCCCCATCAGATTAACTAACTAAAAGGATTGCAGGCCAGAAAAAACTCGCAATTTCTCGTAGGATACCCAGAAAACAAACTGCCAAGGACCAAGTCTTGCCCAAGTAGGAAGGAATCCTTTCCAAAGTGCCCTCAAGCCCTCAATCCGGACAGTCTTCACAAGACAATCATAGGAGTTCCTATATTTAACCTTTGTTTCCTTCCCAGAAGCCTGATTCATCATTCTAGTCTTAACAACATCAGCAGGACAACTCAATGCAGTAGCTGAAAGACCAGATATGAGGGAAGATAGAGTGTGACCATAAATATTATCATTACATATCTGATATTTCAGAATAAATCTTTTGGCATGATCATAACAAGCTAACTCTCCCATGTTCACCAAAAATGCTCTTTGGACATTTGGGGAAACACCTTTCCAAAGTCCTAGAAAACCTTCATCATGAATGATCTTTTGTAGGGCATCAAACAACCCTGAGTATCGTGGCTGGAGACCTTGGCTGACCATACGGCCATCTGCTTGCATCCTTACTTTGATCAGATCAGCAGGGCTTGCAATTACCTATGCTAAAAGGCCAAAAAACATCAACAAACAAAGCAAATCTAGGAACTTAATTAGAACAAGGTTTGAAATATATGCAACATCATTACAACATGAAGTAAAAATGAAATCACAGATAATAGCGCAGGCCCATTCCAACAATCATAAACCAAGTTTCAGCCAGTCAATGCACAAACAACACTTGTAAAACCAACACATAAATTGAAAATACTTCCTCTTCATAGCACATGATAGTGGGTTGCAAAATCATGGTAATGGACTATTGGTGGTTCAAAAAACATCAGTTCCTAGGACATACCAGTATGTGGAGGACCTAGCCCCATTCTTGCTAAAGAAGAATCCGATGATGAGAGAAAAGAATGCATTCTGTTGTTTAACAGCTTGAGGTGTTTGAGGGAGATTACAATCCTTCTATGAAAAGCACCAGGATGCCAGAATCATGCTTTTCAATTGGGGTCGCTTAAAAAATACTTCATAATGAATATGAAACTGCTATGGTAGATGAAAATTATTGTGTATAACATCCCTTGTAGTGAATCAAAGTAAACAATTCAATACGCAACTTCTTGGTTGAATGATTTAATTAGTTCTCCTGCCAATCAAATACGAAATTTCAAATCCCCAAAATCAAGAGGAAAAACAAGTTGGCATTACATCAATAAAGTTCAATGCTCCAAACAGCCTTTCCAGATGAGATGCCACATATAGGTAATAACATTCTTGTTGCGGCCATTGCTCCCTTAGTTATCATACTACACGTTGGAAGGAAAATCTTTGAAATTCGTATTGCAAACAAACAACTTCTGGTCCAATGTTCTGCACCACATAATCTCTAGCTTAGCCCCACTTAAAGTTTACCCCACAGCTCTGCCATATAAGTAATTATTTTATTGTATGGGTAGATTATATTAATAATCGTGTGGTTACTACTCCGCCATATCTCGGTTAGCAGTGGAATTCAAACAAAACCAGTAATCGAAAAATCTAGTTATACCAACAAATTACTTTCTACCTTAAGAATTCCAAAATCAAATTAACCAAGGAGCAGGCTAAACCACATCTGTAACAAAATAAAAGAAGGCAAATTATTAAAAGATGGATAAACACCTGAGCAACAGCGCCAGAAATTCCACCAATTGCCGCTTTGCTGAAAAAGGAAGGTGAATCGCCAGACGATCGTAAGAAAAAGCTCCTCAAATGCTCGTAGCCTACGATTCGGACCGGTGTGTAAAACATGTGACGGAAAATAGCAGGAGTTAAACCTTTGTACATCCCTAGAACACCGTCCTTGCGAGCGATCTCTAGGGTAATTCTGAAAGCGGAGGTCGGGTGAGCTGACTGCAACGACTCCCCGTGAAGCTGCATCCGTGTCTTGACCAGGTCGATCGGAAATGTCGTCGTCTCTGCAACCATAGCGGAGAGTGACGTCAGCAGCATTTTCTTGACGTCACGATCGGCGCCAGCCATTGTCGTACTGAACCGACCACTACAGTATGTTACAGCACTAAATGGGTCTTTCGCTCCACCACTGGCTTCAATTATCGAAATTGGGCCTTTTTATATTGGACCCTTTCCATATTAAGCCTATGTAAGCTTGCACGTTAAAGCCCAATATCATATACTTAGATTGGGCCTAAAATTTCGGCCCACTTTTCTTTCTTTCTTTTCTCTTTTAAAAAAAAAAAAATAACTGTTCTCTGGGCTATATAGAAATAATTGAAACCATTCTAAAAAATGTATTTCAAAAAAATAATAATAATTAAGGGTTTTAAGCTGTATATAAATATAACCAACTTTGACCATGAACAGAAAGTAAATGTAAAATTACAAAATTAATATTTGCAAATTAACTGATCCGAGGCTTTGAATTGATTTCTAATTCATAAGAAAAACCCTAATCTTCTAACACAGCATTAGAGTTCTCACACACGAGCTAAATTAATAACTGGGCGTTGTATTAATCATGCACGTGAATTTGCCAATCTACCCCTACAATCTCGGCAGCTCCATGGCCGGAGAGCTCACCATGTTCAGCAGCTCGTTCCAGTAACTCCTGCTGTCCTCAAATTCTTCGACCATCCCAAATAAACCCGGTCCGCCAAGGTCGTTCAATGAACCGGACGCCACGTCATCGAACCGGTAGATGGAACTGTCCTGATGAGGAGGACAAGGAAGGCTGCTATCCTCGTGACTGTCGTCGTGGGCAGGTCGTAGTGAATTCTCTATTTTGCCCTTAACCTCGGAGGCGTTATAAGCGGTGCCGTACGTTGGGTCGCACGTGCTGTAGTTGTTCGTGGATACGACGTCGTTTGCCATTAGTGAATTGACTGCAGACATTGTGTAATTGTTGCAGGAGAAGTTGAGCGTGGAAGTCGGCGACTCGAGGCTTCCCGGTGAGCCGAAAAGGCCATTAGGGCTGCTGCCGGAGGTCTGCTGCCAGACCTTGAGCACGTCCAGGCACGGCGGCGCCGCCAGATACCGCGGCGGCGGAGGCGGCGGCAGCGGGCGGGGATTGAATCTGTGGAGGAGGCGGAGATTGGACTGGAGCTTCGACTCGCGAACGAGCCGGGCTTCAGCTTCGAGCCGAGCCGTCTCCCATTGAGCCATGTGGCTGAGATTGGCGGCGTGCCTCGACTGAGCCGGGTTGTTTTTCGGCTTATGGGTCGTCGGGTCGATCCCCATTCGGGCCAGCCGTTTCTTCAAACGGGTATTCCAGTAGTTCTTGATTTCATTGTCCGTACGTTTGGACAAATGTGCGGCGATTGCTGACCACCTAATTAATTAAGATTAATTAATTAAACTCAATCAAACACTTAATATTACAATGAAAAATAATTAAATTTACAATAACACCCAATATATTGTAGTAGTGTATGTGCAATCTTAGAAAATTGGAAAACCAACAAGTTCTTTTTTTTTTTTTTTTTATCTATTTTGAAACAAAAACTGTATCAAAAAAACATAATTAAATATAGAGTACAAAAAATGTCGGAAACTATGCATGTCCTAATTAATAGGCATTGTCCTTTCAGATTACTGTGACGTACAATCAGCAGATGTGTATTTTAAACTTGTCTGCAACTCAAAAAACAAACGAAGTGTAAAAGGGGTTTCTAAATAATTGCATGTAAAGTAGTGTATATGTCTAATTAATTAATACTCCTATTACCTGATTGTTAATTTATTTTGGATCTCCTTAACATGGAAACAATACAGAATTATACATATGTAGTATATGCGTATAAAATATGAGCATAATTCAAAATTAGAAAACCAGCACTGTTTTACTTTCAGACAATAATAGTAATCCAAGAAAGAAGATCTGAATGTCCCAAAACATTTTAAATTAAAAAGGAAAGAACAAGGTTGGGGATATGATGCTTCTGCTTCCATTGTACTGATATCCCAAACTGGAACTAAAAAAAAAAAAAATAGAGAGAGAGAGAGGAGAAACTAGAGAGAGAGAGAGAGAGAGAGAGATGGGAATAGTGAAAAAGGAAGACAAAAAATGAAAGGAAAGAGAGATAGAGGCAACATATGATGATTTCTTCATTATTATTACCTGTTTCCCAAAAGAGCATGGAGTCGAATTATGGTTTTCTCCTCATGGGGACTGAACTTTCCCCTTTTTATATCAGGTCTCAGATAATTCGTCCATCTCAGCCTGCAACTCTTCCCACACCTCTGAAGCCCTAAAATGGCAAAAACCCCGAATCAGCAGAAACCTTAAAACCCTAGATATGAAAAACGAAATCCCCCAATTCTTACATCAAATTGATCGGACATAGGCGAAATTAAATTAAATTGATTACCTGCTTTGGCAGGGAGGGACCTCCAGCTCCCGTGGCCGTGTTCTTCGATATAGGCGAGTAGTTTCTGGTCTTCTTCCCTCGTCCATGGCCCTTTCTTGAGCTCCTCCTTGGCATGGGAATTGGGTCTCCCCATTTTCTTACAGATTGGATAATGGCTAGTGTTTGCAGAAACACAGGTTGATTTGGGATGGAAGAAGATCTGGAGACAAGGGGGGAGATATATATATGTATATGTATATATATGTGTGTGTGTGTGGAATGAATTAATATGATGGCTGGCTACACAATGGAAGAGGGAGAATGGTGTATTATTGAGACAATATATTTAGTATTTTACCTAAGGGGATTTATGAGGAAAACTACCTGCATGTTGCTAAATGGAGTTTTGTCAAAAATGGTGTGAGTGGGACCTGGGATCCCGGACTCCGGAAGCGTCAAGACCATTACCTACCGCCGGCGATGCCGCCGTCCGGGTGTCGGGATCCCGGGAGCGGGGAAGAAGAGGAAGGGGTAAATCTGAGTGTTTCGCCATCGAATAATAGTGTCGGGTCGTGTGACGTCAGAATTAGGACAGCAAGCAGTGAATTGGAATATGAGATATATATATATATATGATCTCGGATACATACTTACAAATTATTTATTTATTTTATTTTTTGAATTATTGGTTTTTTCTTTTTTATTTTTATTTTTTGAAATTATTTGAAGATGCATACATAATTTTAAGATTTGCACTTGTCCTTATTGGCGTATTTATGAGTTGGGCCACTTCCGGATCTTGTGGTACGATTCGGGACCCGATTCGTGTCCGTGTCTGCCTTTTGATGTTTATTCAATAATTTTTAAAAAAAATTTAAAAAAATTGAATCAAACAACTTTGTCCAATTATATTATCATCATTGGGTGTTCAAATTTTCTTTTAAATTTAAATAATTTTTTTTTTTAAAAAAAAATCTATACTATTTGAATTTTATATATATTTGATTTTGAAATCTGATGCTTGTCGTATGTGTATTTTGAATTTTTGTGCAATGTATGATATTTATCAATTTGTGTCGTGATAATTGCATTTGGCTATATATGTGGATGATGTGATAAGTTAGAGGTAAACCTAATCTGTATATAATTAGATCTTATATTTCAAATTTTTTATCATTTTAAAAATTTGAATTTATATAATGTCTTATTCGAATCAACTGTTTGTAGAAAGGTTTTGTTTTAAATCCCAATTCGGCTCGTGTTCATGTACTGTATATAGATCTTCTACTTGCTTTTACCATTTCTAATTTAATCAAGGAAATATTACACACACATGTGAGAATATTATCAACTTTGATTATAATAATTTATTTAAAATATAATGAAATTTATTTATACTTACTTTTATCCATATACTATTAATCTCTTTTTTACTACGAAATTGGAATTTACTTTTGATATATATTGGTTCATACTCGTATTAAAAGAAGCTAAGGGACCACATAAAATAGATTGAGAATCAAATTAGAACGATCTCAAATAATTATATATATATATATATATATATTAGGAATTCTCATCTTCGCATCCTTACATGAAATTCTTGAAATTTGAATTGCATTTAGGGTATAGTCATTACATAATCTTATCATATCCCCCGTCGTAAATACTTGGATGTGTTTTTTGGATTTCGATAATAAAGATTTGATTTAAATTTTGGATTAAACTAGTATTTGATCTAATATTTTTTGAATATATATATATATACATATGTGTGAAAACACTGAACTTAAATAGTAAAATTTTGAGAAGAAATTTCCGAAGAAATACTCCGTAATAAGTCATTTCTTGTATGTCAAATTAACTTCTATTTCATGTGACTTGCTTCCATGCTCGGACTTGCAATGCCCCATTTTGTCGCAACTAAAGTATTTGACATGACTCTTATTACGGCCACCTATGATCCGATTGAATCTTTCACACATCTTTGTGGTTGCGTCCACATGTTGTTCTCATCTTAGACAAAGAAACTCCAAAGTTGTGTACGGATAAGTAAATTATTGCAAAATATTATTCTCTTTATTCTATATACTTTGTAATATTTTTTATTTTGATATATTTCACATATCTTGTAATATTTCTAAAATGTAAAATAATTAATTACTTCATCTGTCCCAAACAATGTGCAACATTTGTTTTGGGCACATATTTTTAAGTTGGTAGTACTAAGTATGATAATATAAAAATTAGGTGATGCGATTGAGAAAAAAATGTATATTTTATTTTATTTTTTTATTTGGGTAATGAGATGGGATAAAGTGGGAGGTAGATATTAAGTATAATTAATTATTTCTTATTTTCAAAATATTGCAGGGTGATTGGGACATACCAAAAAGGAAATGTTAGCACCGTATTTGGGACCGAGGGAGTACTATATTTTATCATATTATACCACTCAAATAAAAAATAAATATATATTTCTCTCTCATCGTATCGTCTAATTTCTAATTTATTTATTTTTTATAATATCTAACTAATATTCTCGTGCCATAAACTAAATATTTCACTGTATGTGAGAAAGAAGAAGTGTTACATGTAATAGCATTACAGATCATTTTGTTGGGAGATATTTGGTCATTTGAAGGGTATGTATAATTACAAAAGAAAAACGTGGAGACATAGCATGTGATCGAGGCAAATATTGGAAGACATGACAATAGAAATAAGATAATTACATTTACATGAAAAATGAATATAATTCACAAAATAAAATAAAATAAAATAAAATAAGTATTGATATCTGTTAGGTGATAATTGGACCCGTTGCAGGTCATGATGATCAATCAATTAATTGACGTTGCCCATTGCAAAGTTAGCATGTTATGTCATATATATATATATATATATACAAATTAAATAAATATTAATAATTGGAGGGCCATAGTTGATGTCATCAGCATTTCCCATTTCCACCATCACCAAAATTAAATAAATAAAATAAAACCATATAAATGTATACATTACTGACTATGCACTTTTCCAGGACCACTCCATATATCCATCATTAAATCTTCACGTTTATTACACTAATTAATGAAGTAATAATATTGACATTAATTATTTGAAATTAAATGCTTGCCCCCAATAAATACAATATTACTCATATGACATAGGCACTTGCATGGTTTAATAGTAGATAACGGGTTTATATTTCCTTAACTTTTTATAAGTTAACTAGAAAAAAATAAAAATTAAAAAATAAAATAAACTATTTACTATGTACAAAATATTAGAACACTTCTAAAACACATTTAGACAAACCCTACCAAAAATGCCAACCCTAATTATAGGCGTGTTTGAATGTAGGTTTCTCATATGATTGACATTATTCATCTCTTTTTATTATTATTGAATTGAAACGTAATCTTTATTATTTAAAATATTATATAAAAATTTATTATTTTTTTTCAAACTACTATACTACATTAAAAAAAATATATTTCATATCATATTTTTACTATATATATATTCAAACCCTCAAACGTCAACTCCAACCCTACATGATTCTTACACACACTTCGGTCTATGCCCACATGCACGTAAATCACTATGTGTAAAAACATCATATCCCATACAAAATTTTCGTCCAAAGCATCAAATCATTAAAAAAAAAAGACACTAAAATTTGTTGCTGATATATAAATGCAGTAATTTTAAGGATGTCTCAAAACTCAAGGAACTATATATATATATGTATATATATATATATTGTGCATGGATCATATAGATAGATTATTACATTGAAGAAGTCCACCCCTCGTGTACCATATTTAGTCAGACCCCACTGTGTCCTAGTGACCATAAATGGCATCAACTACTCCTCTGCTTTTCATTCTAACCCTAAAAAGCAGACCTCAAAATCGATGTCATACATTTTTTTTTTTTTTTTTAATTTACCAAAAATCAAATAAAATAAAATAAAATAATTTACATATATATTTTGCATGGGGAATTATTCTCAGGTCTTTTAACGGTTCTTATTACAGACTAAACGGCTGCATAAATCGTGTTTTAATTAATGGAGGAGAAGAATGGAATATAGAAGGTGGCATAACTGCGACATATATAATTATTGTTGGTTTATTTTGAAACCACGCTTTTCATTTTGAGCGGGAAGTGGGGCCGCCGCCACGTCATCAGCCGCAGCGGCGGGCCCCGCGGCGGCGGCCGGCAGTTGGGCGAGTTAATGTGGGATACAATTAAAGTCCCAATCATAATGGACTGAAACTAAATTAAATTTGGAATTTATTTGAGGGGATAAATTATTGCAATAATTCTTAATATTGAAGAGAGGCATGCAATAATCTGTCTGGAAAATGTTTCCAATATGACGTCATCGATACGCCCTAGTCGAGATTGCTTCTTTTAATGAATGGTGCGGATCCGAATCCGAATCCCATGATGAAAGGAAAATTTCAGCAGCATTGTATCACCCTATTCAATTAATTCTACTATATAATATATATATATATATTGCTATTATTTTTAATTTTAAATAATATTTTAAATATAGAATTATTTTATTATTTTATAGATAAGTGATCTTGTTAGTATTTTTAAAATAAAAATTGATATATACAACTAAAAAATTAAAATAGATATTTAAATATGTTAATATTATACAATTATATATCAATAAAATATAATATATCATTTTATATAAAAATATATTAATTTATCTATAATTAAAATAAGCTAATTTACAAAAAAAATAATAATAAATATAGATAAAAATATTAATTTATTGAGGAGAAAAATACAAATAAAAAAGTTTTGAATAATATCTTAGGTAAGAGGTTGGAAATTTAATTAAATTAATTCATAAAAGTTATTAAATATGTTTAAAATTGTTAAATTTACCAATAGAAAATTATTATCCTATATAAGATGAACTAAAAAGAACAATGATTTATGGATGGCGTGATAGAGGAATTATAACAAAATACTATTTGAATTAAAATTAAAATGAATAATTAAAACTAAAACCAAACAACCCCAGTTTTTTTTTTTTTTTTTTATGTAAAATACTCCCTCCGTCTCCAAAGTATAGTCTTATTGTGTTGGGAATGACATTTAAGGAATATTGATATTACATTGATAGTTGGTAAAAAGTAAGGATAAATAACTTTTTTGCCCTTGTAAGTATATCAATGTAAAAAGTAGTGACAATGGTGTAATAATAATGAAAAAATATGGATAGTTTTATGATGATATGGTTATTTATAGAAATAAGATTATTATTTTGAAATGAAAAAAAATGGTAAATAAGACTATTATATTGGACGGAGGAAGTATGATTTATAAAATTATTACAAATAAAAAGTAGGGATAAAATGATTTTAAACAAAAAAGAAAATACAATTATTGGTTGCCGATCTTGTGTTGATTTGGCCAAATAAGCGTGGTAGCATATATGGTAAGGGTAACCAACTTATGTTTATACATATCTTAGTATACATTGTGTT